GTAATGATGGAGGGTGAATCCAATTATTAAAGGAATTGATTCATATGAAAGTATATACACACGCTTCCGCATCACGCCGCTTGGGCGTCGCAATTACTCGGTCGTAACATCACCCATGGCCTTATCCGACTCGGCCACCAACAGCCGGGAGATGAGATCTCGCGCTGTCAGGAGGCTCGCCATGATCCTTGTCCTCGTCGCCGTCGTCGTCCCCGGCGCTCTGCTCTACGGCATTCTCATACCATCCTACCTCCGTGGGCGTGATAGCTCACCCATATTGGACGTGGCCGTCGAGACAGTCGAACCCGCAGACCAATTGGCAAGCTCCGTCGTCGCCCCTTGCTTCACCTCTGCCAGTTGTGCATGCTAGTGTTTTTAGTGTGCTCATGTTATGATACTGCAACAGGAGATGATTCTGAGGGCAGCAGACATGGGGAACAAGACGGTGATAATGACCACCTTGAATGATGCATGGACGGAACCTGGATCGGTTTTGGATCTCTTCCTCGAGAGCTTCCGGATCGGCAACGGGACGAGCCAGCTTCTGAACCACTTGGTGTTCATCACCATGGGCCAGAAGGCGCACGAGCGTTGCACGTCTATGCGTGGCCATTGCTTCGATCTCAACACCAAGGGCGCCAACTTGTCCGAGCAGAAGGACTACAATACTCCCGGCTACTTGGATATAACGTGGCAAAGGTTGGATTTCCAACGCCAAGTTCTCGAGAAAGGGTACGACTTCATATTCACGGTACGTTCTCCAACTGCACTCCTTCCATTTTTTGAAGGACGCAGAAGGGCAACAAATGTCACGTTACTTCCAAATGAATCATGTTATATAAGTTTTATGTATCATCTTCATTTGTGGATCCATCGAGCTGTAACTTTCTTCAACCAAAAGTGTTATATGTCACGATGGAACTCAATGAACTACATGCCATGGTCTTGTTTCAGGATACAGACATCTTGTGGTTTCGGAATCCTCTTCCACACTTCTACTCCCAAGGAGACTTCCAGGTATCCTGTGACAGGTTCTTCGGCAACGCCACTGATCTGGAGAACTGGCCTAGCAATGGATTCAACTACGTGAGGTCTAACAATAGGACCATCTCATTCTTCAAGTACTGGTACTCGGCAAGAACAAAATATCCCCAGGATCATGATCAGGCTGTGTTCAACTACATCAAGCATGACGCGTACCTCAGGGAATTAGGGTTGACGATTAGGTTCTTGGACAGTAAGTACTTTCATGGGCTCTGTGAGATACGAAGCAGAGACTGGGATGCCGTTTGCACGATGCATGCAAACTGCCGTATTGGGTTAAGCAGTAAGCTCAGTGAATTGAGAGGCATGCTTGAAGAGTGGAAGAAGTATATCTCTGGCAATCACTCTTAGATTCTTCCTCAAGCGGCTTTGTGACCTCAGGTTGAAGCAGTTTTAGATGAAGATGTCGAGAATGCTCTGATGTCAATTTAGTCGATATACACTCACAAACGATAAACATCATTTTGTTTTATTGACATGCATCCTCAAAACTCAACCATTTGAACGGAAAGTTGGGATAGAAAAGCATATTTATGAAGAGTTCGACAGTATGGGCATTTGATCATCACAGAATTTTTCTCTATTTACAGTCATCCAAAAATTCTTGTTTCCTGAGACAAAAAATTGAATATTTTCTTTTCTTTCGTTTCCTGATTTCATTTCAATCCCGGTTAATTCAGAAAAAAAGACAGCTGGAGTAAGAAGAAAAATTAGCTCAAGACATTTGAGATCTTTAGGTGATTCCTCTGAAAGATTTTGTTGTTCAAGACTCCTCTGTTTTACCTGACGACCAAATTTAGCTGTAATTAAGTTTTGCTCAATAAATCATCATGACAAGCTATATTCAGTGAATTACAATGCAAATACTTGGAAAGTTAAAGAATAAATAATTTCTAAAAAATCAACTTGAATTAGGTCCAAGATGCTACTGTGGTGGGACTTCTTGGATCTCTAACCTTCTTTCACTGTGTTGTGGGGAACATTTCAAAGATAGCATAGAAGATGCTGGCGCAATGTTGCTGTGAGGAGGGAGCATAAGCAACCTGAGATTTACCTCAGCCTCATGGAAGCTGTAAACTTCACTCTTGATTCCTGCTCGTAGCTTCCTCAACTCATCGATCCGTTGTTGATGCGACGTCTTTAGATGCTTCAGACGATCAGAAAAGCCTGCCACAAGATAGTTCGATAATGGAAGATTAGGCTAAACGAAAAAGATGGAATTTTCACATGCTTGGGTGTCAGATGACGAAGGGATTTGTTTGCTTCTTTCCAAGTAGCATGGCGTTGCTGCAGTCGATGTCATCAAAATCTGTCACATATCACATATTGTTTCAGAACTCTGAGCACAATCCTATCTACAAGAAGATCATTATTTTTTGTTGTACATACGCATCCAAGAAGAAATCGTGTTCCTTTTGAATGAGTTCTTGAGGGTGAAGCATTAACAATGCTCCTCCTCAACAAGTCCTAATCTACCGGCGAGTGGCTGGTTTCTTCTACCGCACGGCAGTGCCACTGCCTCATGTGTCTTTTAATGTGCGATTTTGATGCTTCCAACTTGTGAGTCACACTGCCTCATGTGCTCTTCTCTCGGGATTAGAGGTGCAGGTTCCAAGAAGGACAAGATGCCTATAAATAATGAGAAGAAGCATCTCAAAACCAATAAATAGTCAACCTAATAAAAAATAAATAAATAAATAAATGGTCAACATATCTCATGAATGAGTGGTGTATATATATATATATATATATATATACCGGTGGTGACGGTCGCGTGCAGTAGTTACATAAAGCAAATCACGTTGCGAGCACACATTTCGATGACAGATCGCGGAATCATACGGATTCGCAAGTAACCGTGTCTCCTCCCGCCCTTTAACTGCGCGCTTCCGCTTCACCCACGGTCGCACACCAACAAGCTTCCCTGGTGGAAGGAGGGGGCGATTGCTTGGTCAGGACGTCGTCCATGGCCTTCTCCGACTTCGCCACCGCCGGCCTGGAATTGAGATCTCTCGCTCGCAGGGGGCTCGTCCCGATCGTTGTCTTCGTCACCGCCGCCGTCTCCTGCGCTCTCCTCTACGACACTCTCATGACGTCCTCCCTCCGTTGGCCTCTCAGCTCTCCCATGGGCGTGGCCGTCGATGCCGCCGAACCCGCAGACCAATTGGCGAGCTCCGTCCCCTGCTCCACCTCTGTCGGTTTTGCCACCCTTTTAATTGTGCTCATGTTATGATACTGTACCAGGAGATGATTCTGAGGGCAGCAGACATGGGGAACAAGACGGTGATACTGACCACCTTGAATGATGCATGGGCCGAACCTGGATCGATTTTGGATCTGTTCCTCGAGAGCTTCCGCATCGGCAACGGGACAAGCCAGCTTCTGAACCACATGGTGTTCATCACCATGGACCAGAAGGCGCACGAGCGTTGCCTGTCGATGCGTGGCCATTGCTTCGATCTCAACACCAAGGGCGCCAACTTGTCCGAGCAGAAGGACTATAATACTCCCGACTATTTGAATATGATGTGGCAAAGGTTGGATTTGCAACGCCAAGTTCTCGAGAAAGGATACAACTTCGTATCCACGGTATGTTCTCGAACTCTTGCATGAATCATGTAAAGTTTGTGACACCACTGTCATCTTTAATTGTGATTACTCGAGATGAAACTTTTTTTCCCAGCAAAAATGCTATAGGTCAATATGTAACTCGACGAACTACATGCCACGGTCTGATTTCAGGACACAGACATATTGTGGTTTCGGAATCCTTTACCACACTTCTACGCGGAGGGGGACTTCCAGGTATCCTGTGACAGGTTCTTCGGCAACGCCACTGATCTGGAGAACTGGCCTAGCAATGGATTTAACTACGTGAAGTCCAACAATAGAACCATACCATTCTTCAAGTACTGGTACTCAGCAAGGACAAAACATCCTAACGATCATGATCAGACTGTGTTCAACTACATCAAGCACGACGCGTTCCTCAGGGAATTAGGGTTGACGATTAGGTTCTTGGACACCAAGTACATTAATGGGCTCTGTGAGATACGAAGCAGAGATTGGAATGCCATTTGTACGATGCATGCAAACTGTCGTGTTGGTTTAAGCAGTAAGCTAAGTGAAATGAGAGGTATGCTTGATCAGTGGAGGAAATATATGTCCACCAAACACTGAAGGAGGACAAATTTGCGTGTTGTCTCACATATTATTGGGAAGTGAGGTATCATGTCTAACGTTTGACAATATTGTCTCGCAGATTCTTTAGCTGCGTGTATTACGCACTGGAAAATATTGTCTCACATATGATTTAAATCATGAAACGCAGGATAAGGCAGCACAATAAATGCAAGATTGTCTTGTAAGATGCATCATGCATGAAACAATCCCGGTGGTGGTGGTGGTCGTCGTCGTCGTACTGTTTGTTTGTGTCAGAAATGGTCAGGTGGCAAAGTTGACATGACTCGACCCAATAACGCCTACAAACTAGATGCCCCCTCCTGAATGGTCAAGCCAATAGTTCCTTCCTATCTGCGGACTCATCTTCAGCATAGGATCTTAAACTGTTGTGACGTGCCCAACAATACTACTTCCTGTTCATAGATGAATGTATGTATGGAGAAGTCCTTCTTTTATAAATTTCGAATTAAGACATCGATAGAGAATTTTTTTTTTAATATCATGTTGGTTGGGCATGCTTGTATAGTGCCCCATCATCATCTAACTGACTACGTGAATCTAGATGATGTCACATCATTGCCTAGGAGTGTCATGGCCAATTGGGCACTATGTGTCCACTAGTTGTTTACTATTTGACTAAGTATCTTGTGTGAGTTCTAAAAGGATAATATTTTGCTCATATGACTTTAACAATTCGTGCAACGAGCATTAGAGATAAGCGATGCATAAGGACATCAGGGTGTGCTAACTTAGACGGTATATACAAAACATATCAAAAACATAAGATGATACACGAGGGTATTAGATATATATAATGCATGAGGACATAAGAAGTTTTCCAATTTAAACTATCCATGTACAAAATATCAAATACATGAAACATGTGGGGGTCTCAAACCATACAAACATGAATCATTCACATAGGAGGTATCAAAAGCATAAGACATTCAAAAGTATTAGGGCAATGTCAACTTGAACCCCTCACACTGGGGCATGAGATATATGAGGATATTGAGGCAAGTCAATTTGAACGATCTACATAAGGGATGTTAAACACGGGGGACATACAAGGGTGTTAGGGGTTCCAATTTGAATTACCTACATTAGGTGTGTTAAACATAAAGCTTGCGAGGGTGTCAGGGCAATGATGACTTAAATCCTTGATACTTGGGGTATATAATGTATGAGAAGTTTAAGAGAATCGGGCTATACTAACCTACATCACTCATATTGGTTATCATAGGATAAAGGTGTCGAATTGAATCACCCACATAAGGCGTGTCGGACATATAAGACACATAAGTATATAAGAGCATATCGACTTAAATTGTATGCCGATAAAGTGTCAGATATATGAGATATGCAAAGTCATTTAGGTTGCTGACTTAAAATGTATGTATAATAGAATGTGAGATATATTTATTCTTATGAAGGTACGAAGGCATGTCAAATTAAAGTGTACATATATAGGGTTTTGGATGCACAAGACATGTGATAGCATTGAGGTGTACTAACTTAAACTTCCTATGTAAGGGGTTTTAGATACATGAAATGCATGAGGATATTAAGACATGCCATCTTAATCTGCCAAAATGAAAACTATCGAATGCGTGAGGGTATTAGAACATACATACTTAAATCACCCATGTAGGAAGTATCAAGTAGAATGACATATGTGAAAATTGAGACACGTCGACCACCTACGTATGAGATATTGGATGCAAGATATATTTAAGGAATTCATAAAATGTCAACTTAAAGTATTTAAGGATTTCGAAAAATGTCAACTTAATGTGCACACATAGAGGTTAAGTGCATGAGATATGTAATTTCAAAATATACCGATTTGATGTACATGTAGAGGGATAATAGAAGACATAAGATATACTTGATATACATGAATGAGGGATAATAGAATGCATACGATATGCAACACTTAGATCACAAGATCACAAGTCTATGTAGTGTCTAATCACATGATGTAACAAGACATGTGACATCAAGAGTCATAAGATGAATGATCACTATATCACTAATTGAATTGATATTTAATTAAAAAATTAAAATATATAAATAATTTAAAATAAAATTTGAAATACCCATAAACAATGAGAGAATGATGAAGAAAAAAATACAAGGGAGAAAGAGAGGCCGACTAAGTAAGAAAACTGTTCGAATAAGAAAATAATCAATTTTGTTTTTTAACAATCAGAGAGAGAAGGGAAGTGGGAAGATAGAGGCGGGGAGGAGGAGACGGAAGAGTTAGGAGGGGGAGAGAGAGAGAGAGGAAGGGAGGAGGTGGACAAGGGAGAGAGAGGAGGAGGGTGGCGGCAAAGGAGGAGAGAGAAAGGGGAGGGTAGTAGGAGGCGATGAGGGAGAGGGAGGGAGAGGAGGCGGAGAGAGGAGAGGGGGGAGTCGGAGGGTACAGAGGCCGAGAAGGAGGATGAGGGGGGAGTCCGTCCGTCTCCTCCTCCCCCTCCTCCCCTGGCTCCATCTCCTCCCTCGCATCCCCCGCCGCCCCCCAAGCACGGAGACGGACTGATATTTGGTAACTCAAGGTATCAAAATCGAAAGAAATGATACCAAATAAGCAAAAAGCAAAAACACTGGAGTCTCTTAGTCATTATTTTTAATTCTTATAGAGCACAAGAATCAAGTAATCAATGTTTGCAAAAAGCTAAAATTAACTGCAACACGTAGCACATTCTCAAAAACAATTTATCTAAATTACAGACTCATCAAATGTTATTCATAGCAATGAATAACTACAAAATTCACCTACAGCCTCACTGAAAATTTACCTTCATTTGCCAATGAAGGCCAAGAATGTCAAGAGACTCCATTCTCTACAGGCTACAGAATAGGAGAATGGATAACTAGAAGTCCGATATCATATATTATCGTCCAGAGCTCCCTTTAGGACATGTAGGCCTTCCAAAGAAATACTCCTCCGGACTCGAGTTCTAGGGATCTCGATGCGAGGGGGCGGATCTGGGGAAAAGCAGATGACCATGACAGTTAAATTGTCGCAAGTGTTTCGTTTCAGCGCTTCTCGCACAAGCTCTCTCGAGCATTTCTCTGGATCATTGTGAAGCATGAGTTCCTTCCTAGTCATTGTCACCGCACACTGACTGCTCATGACATCCCAAATGCCATCACAGCCCATTATTAAGAACTCATCCTCTTCTGTTAGAATTGTCTCCTGCAACTCTGGTTCAGCGCTAAGTGGGCAGGCAGATCCTTTGGAGCCTTTCATGTGCCAGTCACCAAGAGCCCTAGCGACAGACAGCTGACCATTAAGATATCCATCGTAAACACTACCGCCTAACCTCTCAATTCTACGCCGTTCAGCATTGCAGTTAGGCTTATGGTCTTTGGAAAGTTCAATTGCTCGGCCACGCTTCCCTAATACGGCTCGGCAATCACCTGCATTAGCAATGAGCAGCGACCTACAAAGGGAAGAAATTGGGAGTCAATAGTTAGGCATCTCATCAAAGAAGAACAACTATTTAAGTAAATATTAACCAGCACAGGCATCCCTTGAAAGAGAGAAGATATAAGAAACCAGTTAAGCTTGTGTTGTTTTTGGATATAGATTTATACTAAATGCCCCATCAAATTATCCAATCAAAATAAAATGTCTTTAATTAAAACTCTATTACCCGACACTTGTTCGGCTTCACGTTACATTATTCTACAACACAAAACATTCTGTAGATCTAATTATCCAGTGATATGGCTGGTAAAGAGTGCCAATCTCAAGGAACTTACAAAGAAAATCAAACAAAAGAATTGCATTGAAACCTTAAATATTACAGCTTTAGCAGTGTTATGTATCACTGCCTTTTCTCTATGAAATCAAAATACTGAACAATCAGATAATCTTTCCAGCAACCTGACAACTTTATTAATGATGAAGCTTAAATATGAATTACAGATACTAAACACTAGTGGAATTCAATGTGCTGCCACACAAGATACCAAGGATAATGCATCCAAGGCCTTGAACAGCTTGCATAATTCATTTCTAATTTATCGAACAGGCAAATGTTCGTGAATCATTCTTTCTGCAGTCAAATTGCAACTCTCAATATGTTTCAACTTTCTTACATGATACAGGATGATTGCCGTTAGAAAGTGACATCAGATGTTACCTGTCTAAAATAAGGGCTGTAAGTGCTGTTGTTCCAGAAGAGCGATCAAGTGAATGGGAATCGGCAAGCGCATGATCAACCTTTATAAATGCATTCTTTATGGCCTTCTCCACACTAGCAGGGAAATAAACGTCCTCAATTATGTATTTAAGGATATTATTTCGAACAAAACATGCTGCATCTATACCACCATGTCCATCAAACACCTGCATATTCAGACTGCATTTTCTCAGTAAATGCTCATCAGATTCCTAGGTGCGACAGTCCAAATGATCGATGCCATTTATCATAGTAACAAAAGAGAATGAGTTACAAGACCTATATCAACCATGAAATGCTGAGCACATCATCTAAAAGAGTAAGAGATCAACCAAATAGTAACCACAAAATAGAAATGGCAACGAGTTCTGTAGACATCAATTTCACCCAAACAAATCTGACTAACCAGCTCGCAAACTGAATCCAAATCCAAATGCCACTTATATACCTACTTTTCTATCAGAACTTTTCTCAAACCCAATTAAAGGGTACTTGCCAACTATGTAGGTACCAGAAATCGAATTTGAACGCTCAAAGAAACCTACTTTTCTATCCGAACTTGTCAAAGACCTGATAAAGGGTGTTAAATCTTGTTTAAGCAGGTTCAATAGACTTTGGTACCCCCCAAAAAAAAGACCCTCTGCCATCCCTATAACAGAACACATAATGATCAAATAGTAAATAATGTAATACTCTACAATATGTACAGAATTGAACCCACGTAAGTGGCACTCACTCCATAGAAAGCACCAGGTGATGGAAAATTGGTAGAAGCTCTAAGATATTCGACGAGATTATCAATGCGAATGTGCTCATCCTCCATGTGTGGTTTCGGCCCAATCTCTGAGCAGCAACCCGACCGAAACACAGGCCAGAACCCAGTCTGTCCTTGCTGCGGAGAAATCAAGGCAAGAGTCCCCAAATTGAAGCCCTAGAATAAGTAGGAAATTTGGTCATGATAATTAGAAACATGGTGATTCAAATACCAGATACAGATAGACAAAAATCTCATATAAAAGAACACTAGTTCAGCCAGAACAAACCAGGCGAGCACTGCTCACAGAATGCCGAATGATCGAGAGGTGTCGAGGTGGTTTCTTGGCTTTTGCCCCCGTCATGCTCTCTGAAGGCATAGGACCTTCTGCGCCACCATTGTTTAAAGACCCTATCTCTTTGCTTGTATAGTTGCTGTCCATAATCAATGGGGGTGAGGATTCGGTGCCGGGTGACATGATCCCTTCGGAACCATTAATGCAACTGTCCAGAAATAGAAGAAACGATCCATAGCAACCTTTAAGCAGTAGTGCCTATCTAGTACATGTCGTCAATGTAATATATTCAATATTTGGAATATTCTCACTCTAGACATTAAATACAATTGCACGATTTGATGGTTTTTGCCTCTGAAGAGATCCAATTCGAAGAAGGGTTACCTCAAGTCAACTAGACCTCAGGAAAAATTGCTCTTTTTAAGACATCAGTCCCAACTCCAAATGACGACGACGGAAGAATAGAAGCGAATAGCTCTGAAGCAATTAAGACTCATCAACAGAGCCAAACACAATCAAAATCAGCAAAAGTATAAAAATAAGATTCCTCGGCGATAGAAACCTAATCGAAAAATACGCAACCAATACGGTTCCTTTCGGAGAATGCTCATAATGAAATCAACGATCGGATCTTTAGCCCCAAATTCATCGACATTAAAATAAAACCTGAAAAAAATTCACCAAATTCCCAGCTTTATCAATGCCAACACGAAGATAAACGGATCTAAGCAGGGAAACCAAATGCAGAAATCGCATAAATTTTCTTCAAAACTGACCCTTGACCATCCTAAAAGACAGGTGCTTCTGTGACGTCCGAATAATTCACCGATCAGAGGTCGTCGCCTTCTCCTTTTCCTTCTTGAATTCAACGAATTTTTATTTTAGGAGAAAAATGGAAACAATAAATGCGGCAAAAGGGGCAAAGAGAAACAGAGAAAAGGAAATAGCTTAGAAGTGAGAAGAGGGAGGAGGCAAGAGAGGAAGGCACACGCGAAGAGGAATCGGGCATCTTTTATATCGTAGCGCCGCGGACCGGCGATCGGAGGTCACCCGGTTGCGGCCCTATCTTAATAAAGAAAGGAGAAAGGATCGGGAAGAGCCACGTGTCGACGAACAGTACCGTTGACTATAGATGGGAGCTTTCGGGCGCGACACGGATCCGGTGCGGCTGGAGATTCGTTCGTAATCGTCAGATTACATCAGCATTGGGGCTTTTGAACGGCTAGGATTGTTCCAGTCTCGATGATGATCCTGCCACGTGTACCCCATGATTGATTATATATGTTGATTAAACATAAAAAAAAATAATCGCTATTTGAATTCTTAGGAAAAATTAGACCTTAAAAAATGTTACAGGTATTCTTCTTAACCACCAAAAACACATTTTGGATTACAATATCATTATCATATAATAAGATCATCATCATATTTATTATGATTATAGTTGCTATCAAGCAACAACTTTCTTCAGCCTCTTTATTGTAATGGGGCATCTCACAAAAGTGGATTGAAAATGATGCGTGCTTTGCATTATTGCTTTGACCACATACTTTTTCGCAGCCATTCTCTACTTTTTCTCTACCTTTTGGCTTTGTATTCTCTTCTTTTCCTCGATAAGTGGTCCCAATGTGGACCATTATTTTTCTCCCAGAAAATAACTTACGCCATGCCGTAAATTGAATGGTTTCGATTTCGATTCAAATTATTGATTTTTAATTTTAAATTAAAAATAATTTGAAATAAAAAAATATATTTTAAATATATATATATATATATATATATATATATATATATATATATATATATATATATATATATATATAATTATCAACCATCAGTTCGAACTAAAATCAATACCGTCAATTCTGGTTCAGATTCGACTGATTTTGATTTCTAAAAATCAAATCATTCGATTTAAGATTAACAAATAAACGAACCTATTAAATCCAGTTCTAATCTGATTCAATTTCAATTTAAATGAACAGAATTAACCAGTGCTAAGTGTTCTTTGTTCGCATCCACTCGCCACTTTATGCATGTCGGCCTTCTCTTTGCCATTAAAATGTGATAAGGTGGCTTAGAAGGTGGGAGAAAATAGAAACGTTGGATCCTCTGGTTTGGGAAATATACCTGCTCACGGTGGGACCCATCAAAAGGGGACCAAGCAGCCTTCGAATCTCCTATTAAAATGGAAGCCAGCAGCTCAGCTCATGAACAAACCCCATCACCTTTCTCTTCTAATCGTGTTGATGATGCCTTGTTCTTTCGTACTTCTCTTTTACTCCTCATTCAAGGCTTCGCCATGACAGGGTAGCTCCCAGGTTTCTCTCTCTCTCTCTCTCTCTCTCTCTCTCTCTCTCTGAGATTTCATGCAGATAGGCTTCACCAGCTGCTTCATGATACGAGAACCGTATCATTTTCAACTTTGACTCATCAGAACTTTTTGCTTGATACTTCAACAGGTTAAACCCTCGTAATTTCCTTTTGACTTCTAAGATAAAAGAGAGTACATGAAACATACCTTTGATCAACTAAATTATAGAAAAGTCACTTGAGCTTCAGATCAGCCAGAGAATTATATATTGTCCTTTCTTTCTTCTGCACCACTGGTTGCAAACTAGCAGAAAAGCTATCACCTGCAAGAGCTGCAATGATCTGTCATGATGGCACCTTGTTGTTCACTGACAGAACAGCTTTATGAGCAGCAGCATCCAAAACTTGGATCAAGAACAACTTCCTAAAGCTCCTCAAGGAAGACAAGAGGATGGAGTTCTGGTCTCTGCTCATGGTGGCTTCCATGCCAGTGCTGCAGGTGCTGCTTGTTGGCCTGCTAGGAGCCTTTCTTGCATCCGGCTACATCAACATCCTTTCTGCTAATGCCCGCAGCGATATCAACAAGGTCAGACAAACCATACCCATAGCATCAGCCTTCATACAACAACTAAACATACACTTCTCTTTGCTTCGAGCCTCGATGACTTGAACTTGTCCTATACAGATTGTATTCGTCGTCTTCGTTCCAGCCCTAACATTTGCAAGCCTCGCAAAGACTGTTACAGCAAAGGACATAATTTCTTGGTAAGTCCGATATCGTTCATCCAGGCTGAGGTGGCTTCCATTAACACGTTTCTGGGTGCTTAAGGTGGTTTATGCCTGTCAACGTTGGAATCACGTTCTTGGCTGGTGGAATTCTTGGATGGGCTGCAGTGAAGATCTTGAGACCGGAGCGTCACCTTGAAGCCCTCGTCATCGCGAGCTGCTCTGCAGGTAACCATGAACATGGATGATAGCTTCTGATGTCTGTGTGCGGATCTCCATGGTCTTCAGCCTGCATGCACATAAACAGGTAATTTAGGTGCCATGCCCTTGATCATCATCCCAGCAATCTGTGAGGAAGAGGGCAATCCATTTGGGGCTTCCAAGATTTGCCGTGTCCAGGGAATCTCATACGCATCTTTATCGATGGCGGTAAAGTAAAGGCTGTCATTAGATTTGGCACTGCAATATATGTCGATAATACATTTTCACCTGTTCATGCAGCTTGGAAATTTCTTCATATGGACCCATACCTACGGTCTTATAAGAAAATCGATCAGTCATTGTGGCAGGATCCATAAAGATGATGTGCCGACAAACAAGAACAGGAATCCAGAGGTGGTCAGGAAAGCTAGAATATTTGATCCACAAGATTACAGTGATCAGGAGGAGGCCTTACTTCTGCCATCATCTGAAGATTCAGAACCAAGTGATAGAACTGCAGATCATCGTAATGTAAGTGTTATCCTTCAGGTCTACAATTGCACTTTGATCTCGAAAAATGGAATCTTAAATTGAGATGAGAAAGAAAAAACAGTAACATCGTGGGGTAAAAATGAATAAAAACATGAAATGAAATTTGGTCGATTGAATTAATATTCGCATATATTTGTTGTGAAGGAGATTGAGCAAAGAGTATCCAGCAGAAAGCTCAGTGACATAATTGTGCACATATGGGAAAGATCGAAGGGAACTTTTTACCAGATATCAAAGGAACTGTTATCACCACCAACAGTTGCTGCGGTATCTTTTCATCTCCCTCAAGAATAGTTATCAAGTGTTGGACATGAACTAAGAGGATAGAACTTGTTAAGGAAAAGCCTGACTTGCGATAAGCTTGATTCATCTTAGGTAGGTGGCTTTATCGTCGGTGTTGTGCCATGGTTGAAGGCACTCATTGTAGGAGAAACAGCCCCATTACATGTGGTTCAAGATTCAGTGACATTGCTAGGGTAAGTGGTATCTTCTTTTTTCCGAGCTAACTATGCCAATGTTCAATCATATATTTACAAGCAAGATTTCCATTGCTTGTCATTAACATTGGATACGAGGAAGCGCAGGGATGCCACAATACCTTGCACAATTATCATTCTAGGAGGCAATCTGACGGAAGGTTACCATCTACAAGCTTTTTCTTATTTGTCGAGATGGAAGTCAAAATCTAGATTAAGCTCAGCATTGTTGTCATGAATACACAAGCAGGACTGCGCAAGTCAACGGTGAGGCCGCTGGTAATCACAGCAATCGTTTGTGTGCGGTATGTCATCCTTCCCCTCTTTGGCATTGCGGTGGTGATGGCTGCAGGGCATGTGGGTTTCCTGCCACCATCTCCACTGTACCGCTACGTGCTGCTTATACAGTTTACAGTGCCCCCTGCCATGAGTATTGGTATGAACATTCTTACTTCCTTCATCAAACACTGTTACTGATGTCCACCTGATGCCTACTATTTATTACATGCAACTTTATGATAAGGATGGGGATGAATTGCAGGTACAATGACACAATTATTCGATGCATGCCAAGAAGAATGCTCGGTAATATTCCTCTGGACGTACATGCTGGCTGCCTTGGCACTCACAGTTTGGTCGATGATCTTTATGTGGATCCTATCGTAGAATATGGTTCAAGAAACAATGAACAATCTTCTGCACTTCCAAGAACTTCCTTATTCTTTGGAAGGATTTATAAAGGGATTTATTCTTTATGCTTCTAAGTCTATTCCTTCAATATTGTGAATCAAGAGGGAACATATAGAACATATTTGTATCCAACAATAGGCTTCTTAAAGAAGCTTCGACCACATCTGACGTTGATTCGACTTGGAGAGAAATCGGAAGGCTTCTTGAAGAAACTTCGACCACACACACACACACACACTCAAAATATGACCAAATTTAGTAGTAAAAGATTTGCAGAGATTTAACTGAAACTTCTTGAAAATGTACCAACTAAATAGGAGACAACATGATGAAGAAAAAGGACGAAAGAAAGCCAAGTAAATGCATATAAAATTTAACATAAATCGAATCCCAGCTTGTGCCTTTAGCCAAATCAAGTTCAATCCCTCTTTCATTTCCAAATCATCCCAATCCTATCCTCTCTAACCAGCTCATCGCTTTAACAATTTCAATCTTCTAACTAGCAAAGAAGATGACCTAAAGATTTAATGACAATTGTCATTCGCGTTCGAAATAAGTAAAACACATTAATCAAGTGCAGCTTGTTTTGCGCCGACAGCAAAGAATTCTGTGATGACCTCAAGAGGCATGCCCTTTGTTTCAGGAACTTTCAAGAACACAAATACCAAAGCTAAGGTGCACACGACCGCATATATTCCAAAGACACCAGCAAGGCCGATCATATTCAACAAAACAGGAAGTGTGTATGTGACGATGATGTCTCCGAACCAGAAGGTGAGGGCACAGATGGCAATGCACACGCCACGGACTCGTGTTGGAAAGATCTCCGCGCAAAGGATATTAGGGATTGGGCCGAATCCCATGACGAAGCAGCAGAAGTAGACAACAACACTTACAGTGGAAAGCACAGCATGAACTACTGTGCCCATGTCCACAAGGTTGGCCACAACCAAGACAACCAGTGAAGCTATCAAGACAGGGATTGTGGACAACAAAAGAAACCTGCAAGTTGAAAGATTGGGAATAGGGATTCTTTCTTAACCTATAATGCAACAAAGAAAGAGATGGTCGTTGGGAAAGAAAAGGTTAAGTACCTTCTTCCGGAGATATCCATAAGCCGCATGGCAACACCAATACTAGGAAGCATCAACAAGGTTGTAAGAGCACTAATGAGGATAGATGCTGAAGCCGCACCAATACCAATATTTGCCAGTAAAACTTCAACACCAGCTTGCTCTAGTATCTGAGGGGTGTAGTAGAGAACCCCGTTTATGCCAGCAAACTGCAAGAGCAAAGAATTTATATTAGCAATAATATCAACAACAGAATAAAGATGAAATTAATTTACTTCATGGAATAGAACTAATCAATAGGAGTCATAGGCGTAAGAAGCAATAACTCTTGGTTGTAATCTTCAAATTTTGGTTAGAACTCAATGTAAAAAGGATCTTGAAAATATTTTTCAAATCATTTTACATATATATGAAGAAATATACAAGCAAGTTGAATGACTGACAGGTTAATAAATGTTGAGATCAAATGACAAATTTATTTAATGACATTTATACCCAAGTAACCCAAATGGATTAATTTAAGTGACAAGTGATCAGAAATTTGTGAAGATATAAAGGAATGGATATCACATTATGATAATTATTAGACTAATATTTGCCAAATTTTGGCTGACATAACCTTCACCTTTGTCTTCTATTTCTTATCGTACTTGACGGTAACAAACTTACGACAACAAAGGAAAGTTCTCTTTGTACAATGTCCTTGCTAATGTAGAGAATAAGTAGTAATATAAATCTGTAGCCAAGTCTTCTAAGTTAAAGAAAAACAACATATGGCAATAAATATCATGTTAGTTGAGAAGAAGCTAATGGATGTCTGAAGTTAAACCAGCTTCCTAGGGAACTTTTACAGACAGCTGATGGATATACCCATTAAAGTAGCTGTAAATAATCATAACACGGTTTGGCTCAGGGCTCAAAAGGCAATACAAGAAAATATTAACTAGCGACTTTTTGAAGTGAGAAAGGAATGACGATTTTGACAAACAATCTGAATGTTTCTACAAAATAAAAAGTCTATGTAAGTCAAGATCATCATCTTTATTTTGCATTTAGTAAAACTAACCTGCTGAAGTATTTGGATCCCAACTCCAACTAGTAAAGCATGTTTAACACCTGGTTCAAAAAGATCTGCCCACTTTGGTCCTTTAGCAGCTGCTTCTGATGGATGAACCATGGCTGGCCCCACTGCGTGCTTATCCATAAGTTCCTTAGAGAAAAGAGCAGGTTGGCTTACCAAAGCAGCAGCTTGAACAAACTCGCTATCTTCAGGAATTTCAACTCCTGGGAGGGAAACAAGGGAACCCTTCCTTGACCCAGGAACACCCTCTTGGTGTAGATAGATTCTTTTGAACCCACCTTCCTTTTTCCCATCTGCATCTTTTCTCTCAGACCATTTCCATGCCAGTTGCCATCCCCCACCAATACCCATACTACTAACTGCCTCTCCTCCATTCTGCAGGAGACTGCTATTTCTCCTCATGCTCATACCACTTCCATGCCGTGGAGCAATATCCTTCACTTCCATGCCTGTTGTTTGGCGAGAAAGCAAAGGACTATGCAAATTGTCATCAGAATCGCCTCCACCAGCATCAGATGCATAACCATCACCCTCCTGTTGAAGACTCTCCTCATCCCACTGCTCAGTTTTGTGTTGCTGATCTGCCACACTAAACATGCTTCCAAAATTGGGGAACAGTGTGCTTTGCATGCTTCCCATCTCAGGTAGCTTCTCATGGACACTCCCAAATAAGGTAACCACAGGATCCATCAGCAGCACACTTTGCTGTTTTTGCATGCTACCATGGCGAGATACAAGAGCAAGGGAACTTTGTCCCTTTACAGGCCGAGCAACCCATGAAAGGCCTTCTTCAGGACCATACAATGTGATATGCTCCTTATCAGCAATTGCACCCTGGTCATCAGCAAGCTCATTAGCCGGACCAATTATGTACTCTTCAATGGAAGTCTCACCGCCTACCCCTAAACCCTCAACAAGAAGAGCCAATTCTCCTGTATATTTAAAAAGAAAATAAGGCATATCACATCTTGAAGTTTCTTATATATCCATTCTATTTTACTTGAAGACCAAGATCACAAATTACTGGGCATAAAAATTATCAAATAATAAGCTATTGTGGAATGATAGTGCTATATTAAGGGTTTAGCTACTTTATGTTAAAGAATGAATGGGGTATTTTGATGTAGCATAAAGGAAAAAAGGAACAATGTGGAAGTATAAATAATAGAACTTAGTATTATACAAAATATAGAAGATCAAATCAAGAGAGGTTTCAAGAATGTTTAGTCTGGCATGCATTTTGAGGTCTCAGAGAAATACTAGTTTAGAAGATATATCATACCAGTTAGAGTATCTTTCTTCTCTAAGATTCAATTAGACTTAGATTTAACATTTTCAGTAAGGTCATTTACATAAAACAGACTGAAAGGTCATTTCATGATTCTAAACATGTCTAACTCTGAGACATGTTTTGCTGGCCACCAAATTGCATTACTTGCAACCTCATATAGCTTGCAAGTACTTTAATCGAACTACATCACAGATAACATGATTGGATAGCATGTATTTACAAATAGGTTTAATCTAGCATATGTTTTCAGGTCTCATAAAAATTTTAGTTCAAAAGGTATATCATACCAATTAATTATCTTTCTTCTCCGGGATTCAAGCAAACTTAGATTGAATCATTTTAGGAAGGGCATTCACAAGAAACAAACCGAAAGTTCATTTCACGATTCCAAACATGCCTAACTCTGAGAGGTTGTTTTGCTGGCCACCAATAGCATTCCTTGTGACCTCATATAGTTTGCAAGTACTTTAATGGAAATTACATCACAGCTAACAAGATTGGATAGCTCAAAGTAATAATTGGATCAATCAAAAGCTTTTTTAAAGTTGAACTGGGTCATTGATTGGATGTGGTAGCTGCCTTGTGCTGCATTCTAACCACATATTAATTGCAGATACTAAGTAGCATGTGATTGACACAAAAATGTCACATGATCACCATGGACATCACACAGCTGCACCAAAAAGTTACAACCCAAAACCAGTGCAAAGGTACTGAAATCCTCACGTGCATGTATAAGTTCATATGTGGATGAGAAGGTTTAAAGGCAAGAAAAAAGAAAAATAGATATAGGCAACGTTAAAGTATTTGAAGAACATATATGCAACATATGTAACCGCTCAAAGCAAAAGTGAATGGTACCAATAAACTAAATAGAGGGTATTATTAGTCTGCTCAAAATGAATTAGTGTCATTCTGAGGCACCATGTACCTGAGACATCTTCCCTTCCACGCAATCTCTGCAAAACCCGTTTAGCCTCTACCATTCTTCCCTTGCTTACCAGCCACCTTGGAGACTCTGGCAGAAAGAAAACCGTCAATGCAAAATAAAGGAGGGATGGAATAGAGAGAACACCCAGCATCACTCTCCAGTGAGGGTTGTCCATTAGTGACATCCCAAAAACCATACAATACGATAGGAACATTCCTCCAGAGCCACTGAACTGTGGGAGAGTATTCAATAATCCCCTTATCTCTGATGGAGCTGTCTCAGAGATATATACAGGAACAAGTGTGACAGCCAAACCAATCCCAAATCCATCAATAAGCCTTGCCAAGAGTAGGACATAGACATTTGGCGACCACAGCATCACTAGACCACTAAGAAAATAGAGAACTGATGAGATGATTAGCATGGGACGCCTGCCAACCCAGTCTGATACTGCTCCAGAGAATGTTGTGATAATAGTAGCCCCAATAAGTGACATAGCAACTATTAGTCCTTCTATGGTAGGCTCAGATTCCAATTTAAATTCCTTCTTAATGTACAGAACAGCACCTGAAGAAATTCAATAAAAAAGATTTTAATTTCAGTGAGTTCATATAATGAACTTAGGAACTGAGATAACTAATAGTTACAAGATTATTCATGGATGTCTAATATGCGGTGTGCTATAACTAATCATGCTCAAGTTGCGATATTATTATTTATATGAGCAATAAAGTCCTTCGAGAATAGGAGAAGGAAAAACACTGGATCATTCACAAAAATAGCAAGAGCAAGAAACATTAACAATAGAGAATGGTTAAGTTGTGTAACCTGACTCTAGGAATTTAAAAATAGTACATAAAAGATGAACATAATATTAATTTCAGCTCTAATCTCTATGAATCAAGCAAAAATTTATCGAATAAAATACTTGCTGATAGTGATCGACAGACAAGTACAAGAAATAGTCACAACTACAAGTTTTACCTGCAATGGTGGCATTATCCCACCCCTGCAACAAGTTACCGATTGAGGCAACTATGGCGACAAGAGCAGCACCCTGCATCTTCTTATACACGACTAGCACCTCTTAAAAAAAATTAGGGAGCCTGCAACAGAAGGTATCAGATCAGATTTCTTTGCGAAAACCAACAAAAAGCTAAATCTTCAGTAGATTATGCAGTTACTGTAAATCTTAGGGACTCATCAGAAAATAGATATCGTAACTTCCTGAGCTAAAATAAACAAGAACAAATAACTTCAAGAACAAATCAGAATTCCATGAATCTTCATACCTTGGAAGACAAACCAAGATCTGTTGATGGATGGGCCAAAGATTCAAAGATGGAAAAGACGGTGGCCACGACAAGCCACTTCCACGAGTGAGCCCCCAGGAGTGGCACCAGATCGGGAGGAGGAAAGGACGATGGCTCCTCGGGAACCCTAGGACAGATTAGATGCGCTCATTAGAGGTGGTCTTCGCGTGGGGACAGTGTTCACAGAACGGAAAGCATATACTTCTTCGGTGGCGGAATAGAAAAACCAAAGGAAACAGAGGTGAACAACAGTCAGGGTGGAGACAACAGTACCCCTCCTCACAACCCGACACTTGGGAGTTTTCACCAGACGCACTGCCTCCTCTTCTATCTTGGAATTGGAAGCCTATCTCTCTGCAGACTGAGATCTGTGGAAGTATTCAGGGATAAAGAATTCAAAAAAGGCCAATGCAGTGGCCTCTTGGGGATTGTTCCGCGGAGAAACCCGCCAAGATCTCAACTTTCCGCCAGAAAACAGTGAAACCGACCCTACAAGCCCAAGAAAACACTCCAAGATCGGATCTTCGAGCTGCGAACGGCAGATGCCTCCGTCTCTGACGACTAGGAGATTCCGGACTCCAGAAACTCCAAATGGCAGTGGGAAGATCTCGTCGGCCTATCTGCCTGTTCGGAAGAGCCGAAAATGAAAGGAACGATCAGAAAGGGAGAACGACTGCCTCTTCCAGCGACAGCCGGCACCAATCTGTCAGAATTGGATTCCTTCGGCTCCTCGACTCCAGCTAATAATGATTGTGAGGAAGGCCTGCCACGCCTGGCTTTAGGTACTCTTTCGAACCCTTAACAAGGGGAAAGAAGAAGGAAGCAGATCCTTCAGACCAACATGGCGTAAGTGGGAAAAAGAGATGGACAGCAAAACGAGAGAGATTTGGCGGTCGAAGAAGACGGTGGAGGCACTCGATATCTTCCTCCTTTTATCCTTATTTTTCGATTTCTTATAGGGTTCCCATGTGATTCATATTTATTATAATTGTCTATCATATTTATAAAAATAATTAATTTCCTTACTTTTTTATCAAAATTTTCAAACCATTATCTTCTATTTTAAAAATCTTAAAAGTATCGTCCCTCAAAAATTATTTACAGTATTTTTCTCGTTCAAATTCCAAAAAAATTTCACCAACTGTATATAATATTTTTAAAAAATATATTATATAGTATTTTTGTTTAAAAAAAACTATGATATCAAAAATACTATATAGTGTTTTTAAAGAATAATATATTGTATTTTATGGATTAAAAACTAACTCATAAAATATTATAAACAACTTACCCAAAAAATAATATTTTTTAAGGGTTATTTTTAAATATTAGAAATAGGAAATGATGGTTTGAAAATTTTGAAAAAGGTATATAATTCGAGAAAAAACTCAAAAATAAAGTATTTTCCTAAAGAATCACTCATATTTATAAAAAATAAATCTATCATTCAACAAATTTCATTGAATTCAAATATTGCCTTTACAACATTAACTTTTTTTATCAGAAAAAAATCACATTTACCTATGTTCATAAATGATTAAAAAGTTTCTTTACCCAAGTCTTAAATCTATTATAAAGTAATATATTATTTTAAAAATAAATATATGATAAAAATATATTAGCAATCACACACGATAAGAATCGTCAATACTTATGAAACATATACGAATATCAATAATTTAATATGAAATTATAACATATAAATTTATTATGAAACTAATATATCATAAAAATAATGATAATTTTTATACGGTAAACAAAATCATATGTCAAGACATCTCGATAAAATACAGAATAGTCAAACAATAAAAATGTATATTACACCCAATAGTATATCTTTCAATAGCGGATTAAAAAACTATTTAACCGTCGTATCTAATGGCCTGCTAATTCCCAAAGGAAATAGATTTACCTGCCCTCGATAGTAATACATAGTCAACTATGATCATTCATTATTAACCATCATATCTAACGACTCACTAATCCTGAAAGAAAATCACCATATTTGCCCTTGGTTAGGATAAATAGTCAAATTTAATTATTCATTTACATATCTATTCATTCATGTATCTAAGAAACAATATGATAAACTATTATTGGAGATCATACTTGATGTAACACAAATAGACTATACTATATCCATTTGTGATATACTAAACTACTATAGACATATAACTTCTTTCGGTTCAAATGTGAACCACTTAGTATAGTTATATATATTAGCAACAATCATATCAATATCATTATTTTAATCTAAAAATAAAAAAATACTAATAATTTTGAAATAACGCATTCATATAAAATTTTTAAGTACATTAAATAATAAAGATACAAGGCATCAATCTTTCAATAATCCTCAATCAATCAAAACCCTAATTGGAACGACCCAATTGACTTAAACCAAACTCAATTCAATTATGACTAAACATAACTAATCTTAAATTCTTATAAAATTAACGTGGAATCATCTTGGTCTAATTTAGACCAATCAAACTTATTTGATTCAATTAATTAACAAATTCAAACTAATAAGGAAGATGAAATTGAACTGTCATATAATATTAGCTCAGACCAAACCGATATACATAGTCTTGGATGGGTCACATACACTGCATATGTTTGTTCTAGATAGTGGGTTAGGTTAAGTACAATGGGTTGGGTAGAGGGGCGATAATGTGTCTAGTGCCAAGGACGTATAACTAGGCAGGCCTAACTTTACAAGCTAAGCTAATTCTTACTATGAGTTGTGTCACACATGACTTGCGAGTTGGATCGTATTTAGCCACATGGGATAGGTTATGTCTAACCATATAAGTTGGGTTATGTTTGATCACATAGACTGAGTCATATTTAGTCATATTGGCTGAGTTATAACTAGCCACGAATGGTCACATGGACTAAGCTATACTTCACCACATAAATAATAATTTATTTTTATTTTTATTTTACTTTCACAAATAAAGATAAAAGTAATATTTATTTATTATATTTCATATATAAAAATAAATTTCAAACAATTAATTTTTTAAATTATATCATCCATTAGGAAGTAAATCAATTAATAATTTAATTGATTGATAAAATTTTTAACTTATCAACATGATTAAGAAAATCAATTTCAATCTTTTTTAATCACACTAAATAAATAAATAAATAATAATTTAAATAAAAATATATTATATTATTTATGAAATTTTGACTTATATTAAGAGAGAAAAATCATCGGTGGTTAGAATCACCTGTATGTAAGTAGGACTGCACGATTTGGATTCATTATTGATGTAGCAAAACATAGTCACGTGAGGATCCATGTGGGAGAGTGAGGCCAATCATGATGTAGGTCAGATGCATGAGATGTGTTTGCGTTCTCTCTCTCTCATGTGCCACTGATTCCATAGAAAAGAAACCAATTCATCATTAACTCAAACATAAAATAGCACGTAATCTGACTGACATTATGAACTATGATGACGGAGAAAGTCCAACGAAAGCTCATTAACCCAACTTGATCCAATGCATGCAATGCCAACATTGAGTTTTGCTCATAGAAAACAAAGACCAAAACACTTAACCAATGGCGCACATCATTTCTTGATTTTTTTGCTTGGCTTATAAGTTGCATCATTATGGGGTCGAACATTGCTGGAATTTGTACAGTTGTGGTTTGGAAGTGAATTCAAGCAATGTGGACCACCTAATGATGTTGGTGGATCCAAATGAGACATTTTGGACGTTGTGGGCATTAATTATTATCCCTCTTGGTTGGACCCTCACCTTATTAAAAAATTAGTAAAGACTTTGTCTTGTATCTTACTTATTATTTGTCCTTCCTTTATGTTGAAAGGTTGATGATTTATTTTCCTAAATTAATTATAATTTTCAATAGGATAATATAATTTCCATAGGTATTTGTTTTTTTTTATTTTCTAAGAAAATTCCATTGTCATCAACTAATAAAAGCACACTACTCATGCTATTAAGGATTAAAAGTGAAAAAAAAACGAAAAGCTCTCTCATTCCCATCTTATAGAAATAAATTGAATTCCTCTTTATAATCATAGGTTGTTTTGGGAATGTATTTATATTTTTAATATTTTATACATTTCAATAAAAGGGACTTAAATGTGTATTGACATATGTGTTGTTTGGTAAAATTATATTTTAAAATTTATTAAATATTTTTTAACAAATTTATATTTCTAGTATTTATTTTTAAAAATAAATAAAACAAATAATATATATACATTTAAATTAATAAATAAAATAAAATAAATAAATGAATATATTAATCTTATAGAAACTTCATATGACCCAAATATATAATAAATAAAAATTATAATCATATAAATAAATATAAAGTTATCTTTAAAAAATAAATAAATAAATAAAATTTATACTATAAAAAATATATCTCATATTGGTCCCACACTAAATTATTTTGGCATTCTTGTAATTTTAGTTAATATCATAGGATCCCATAATTTTAGGTAACATAAATTATATTAGCATCCCGTAAATACTAAAATGTTAATGTTACGATTATATATTTTCAATATTTAAATATTTTCAATGCAGATCATATGTAATTTTTAAAAATAATCAAATATCAGTTCCACTGTCTATAGAAGCATTTCGATTGTCAGCCAACACATCTCCACGTATTCACGCATGCTGAGGAAGCCGACAGACAGAGATGATGCATGTTTCTTTGGATTTACATGTTCTTGATGACTCCCTACTCATACAGACATTGGTAACAAAAATCCACGCTGAGATATCTCGATGTAGACAGTGAGATAAAAGTTTGCAATAATGCATTGTGTGGAGATAGAGATAGGTGGAAAGACAAAGCTGCCACCGTTCTCAGAAGAACAATGGAAGCTAATTAACGAGACTGATCGATCAATTCCGGCAACTTCTTTCATGATTGAGACACGCTGCCTAATCCTTTATGCACTTAGCGATTAGCAATTGTTCCATGAAAAGGACTTGTTTCTAGATTGAAAGGTCTTTGCATGGATCCTAAAGCAAAGAAGTGTGAACATCCTTTCTTTAAAATTCGCGCAGGAAGAACAAGTTCCTGATGCTGTGATGCTGTGGGCGGCTTGCAAGCTATGCTCGTTCTCTTGGCGTTGCTCAAATTACAAGATAGATAGCAGAGTTAATCATAACGAAGTCATAAAGGTTGACATAGTAGTCGCTTCTCTTGGTGATGACTGGAGCAAAATCTTGACGGATGAAGACGAACCAATTTGATTCCATAGATCAGAGTACGAAGCAACCAAATGATCGATCGATCACATACTCTTTCTCCAAGATTCGAGGCAGCAGATGTGCTAAGGGAGAGAGTAATGTGGTGTAATCCACTGGCCGTGTCAGGTTTTCCTTTCAAGTCCAACCTCTTCATTCTGACCTTGAGTGTCACGGTGGGCTCCATAGCTCGACTCCAACGAAGCTTCGGGTTGAGCTCACTGCAAGAAGATTCCAACGCATGCCCCTGAAACTTTCCACATCTCACCCCCCTAAATCAAGCATGTGAGAAACCGAGTCACCCGTGATGTGTACAGGGGTGACACACTCCAAGTTACATGTCGGACCTTCCTATTTAGATACGCGCGTAATCTCCAGAGGCGGCGTTGATCCACATCTGTCCGACGGATCTCCAGCGCAAGATGGAACCGGCGCTCGTGCCGACACATGCCTTCGCAAGCCGACTCATATATCCGCAGCGCATGGAGAAGAAGCCGGTGTTTGTTTGTACTGCATCTTCCACCTCCAGGTATGGTTGGTCGCGCCATGCTCATCGTCTGTCATCTGCTACAGCCACCCACGTGAACCACCGCGCGGAGTAGAGTGATAGAGAGAGAGATATATATATGTAATTAGAGAGAAGCCATCTTATCGTATGGACTCGCCGCTCCGCATTTATTCGAGCTGAGGGAGCTAAATTGCAAGAACAAAGTGTTCTCGCGAGATGCTGTACCGCTCCAGCACCAAAAGGCTCCCCCGAATCCGAAACCAAACGACGCCGCGACAAAAAGAGCCCGCCATGCGTCCTCCTCCTCCCTGTCCGAAGTCTCGCACGGAGAAATAGGGAGTCACGGGCACTGACATGAATTCCCCTGCTTGTTCTTGGAGCTTTCTTCTGGTCACAGTGAGCTAACAACTCCAATCCAGGAGGAGGAAAAGGAGATCTCCCACCCGGACAACACTGATCAACAAAAGCTGAAATTTTCTGGTCACGGGAGAGCACTCCCGTGATGGCTCCTTCATCTTGGTTGCCCTTGTTCTTCTTAGCCTTGTACCAGCTCGCGTTGCCAGTCGAGGCGGCGGCTAAGGCGTCTCCGGTGGTGGGCAACATTTGTAGGGTGGATGACGCGGAGCTGTTCCATGTGTACTATGGGCAGAGCTTCAAGGTCATCAAGAACAGCATTGATGGGAAGAGCTACCTCCTCATGCAGGTGAGAGCTTCCCTTCTTCCATAGCCTTCAATTATTCCCTCTGCTCGTAGCTCACTTTGTTCTTCTTGGGTGACTGTGCGATCTTAAAGAGTAATTCTAGGATGGCTGCAAGAACAAAGTACTGCACCGGCAGGATCAAGTCCTTCGTCGTCCCACTCTCCAATTACTCTGTCGACACTACGAATCTTCCCGGTATTCCTCCTTGTTCCTTCCATAAACCTTCGGTCGGTGGACCTTTAAGCCTCTTAAGAATTATCAGCAAATGCTTTCTTGTCTGCATTGCATAGGAAATCTTTACTTGTTACGTAAGTGCTGCATTGTTTGTTAGGAATTGAAGATCCACTATCCACCCATCACAACTTGAGATCAATTTCGGTAGCCAGCTGCTAAAATGTGGATGGTAAATGTTGCATCACCCTTATGTTTGGACCAATGGCTGTGTCATCCAGATAGCTACCTGTTTCAGTGGCATCATTTGAGCTGAAAATGAAGTATTTGTAGAGTGGTTGCAGTTGCTAGCAACCAAAAGAGAGAATAGGGAATCCATGGAAGGAGCTTAGAGATCAAGCATGAAAGAAGCTCAGAGATTTTGATCTAATTTATGACCCAAAAATTATCCTAGTTGGTCCTAAGTTCTAATTGATATCGTAATGTATGGTCCTGATTGGAACTTTGTCCTGAGAGGAACCTGGAAGCTCAAGATTATGAGCACATAGTCTTCCTGTCATTGCCTGAAGATAATATTGAGAGATGGCTTCCAGGAAGTACATCAAGTAGGGAAAGACTTCGATGTGTTGATTGCACATGAATTCAACCTAACTCACTGACCAAGCCTGGTTCTGATGCCATTTGTTGGGGAACTATAATTCTGAGGATTACAAGTATTGGACACCAGTGCTACCCATAAGCTTAAGCTTATGCTATTTGATCATGGCCTACTATCATATGTTTAGCTTTTACTTCATTGTAATCTCCACATTTCTAAATCCAGATAACTGCTAGGAAATATATTAACTTTCATGACAATTCTTCTTGCAGAATATTTCTTTCTTTTCTTAGTTCCTGATGTACCTTCCTAGCTTAAACAAAGTGTTTAAAAACTTGTCATACATATCATTTTATTTTACTTGATCAGAAGAGGAACACTAATGCTTGTTTCTCATTGGACTTTTGCAGTGTCTTTCTTTGAGGTGAGGAGTGCTCCTGTGCAAGTAACAATGTTTACTTCGAATATCAAAAGTTGCTTTGTGGAATCTGAATTGAGTAGCCCATAAATATCATGTGCCGTCTTAGCCTGCACTATGCCTTTGGTTCTCTTCCCTTCTAATTGGTGTTACTTGCAGTTGCTGGGTCTGCTAGATAACTTCAAGGCAATGACATCAGACCAAATTACTTCGGAGTGTGTTCTTAAATTATTGGTTATTGGTAGTATCCAACTAGTCAATAAGAAAGACATGCAACAACTGTCGCAATTCACGGCACATTTCATAAGCAATGTAGAAGAAGAACAAGCCTGCAATTTTGCAGCTTTTGTACCTCTGGATGAAAGGACTCCCTTGCAGGTAAGATGGTAATCTATACATCTTATGACAGTGCATGAATTAGTGTCACCTCTTGCAAAGATTCTTGATCTTATCTAAGATATCCTTATATACGTATATGAAAGGAAATAATCACTTCTAATAGAGCTTTTTGGTTTCTATCATGGATGTCCTAAAGAGAGCAGAATGGATCAAGTACCTGGCTACTTTCACAAACTCAGAAGTCAGAGCAAATTCAGTATATGATGCTGTAAGACCAGCCTAACTTTTGGCTTCCACACTCTCATTTTTCTCTTTTTGCCTCAAGTTATTCATCCTTTGATCTTTAGACTCAATAACAATAAGATGTATTATCTTCATATTCGAGAAACTATGCACAAGATCTACACAGGGTAAATAGTTTGATACACAGTGACAAATTTGAAATTGTTTATCATCTGGAGGACATCTCTATGCATCTCTAACTAGTAAAATATTCCAGGTTAAAGCAAACTATATATGCTTAACAAAAGTTGCTGCAAGCCTTACGACCAAGTTCAAGCCGATCGTAGCATGGGTGGATTACAACCAGGTTTATCATAAACTTTTGTGTGTCAGATCATGGCTAATAGTTTACATTTGAATTCGGCTGACCAACCAAGCAGTTTAGATTTATGTAGATGATATAGATGTTTGTATTAAACTTGTTGGTCTCTAACTTTGCAGGGAATATGGTCTTTTGCCAAAGAAAGTTATAAGTTGCAGGTAGGAAATTTTGTATCTTTTATGAATTCATATAATGAAAGAATTGCACAGCATTTTGCTTATTTTAGATACCCCATTGCAGTATGTAAGGGATGCAGGAGGAGAGAACATTGATGACACTGTCAGCGACAATAGCTATAATATTTCAGATCCTGATGATATGGACAATTTCCACGCGATCCTTTGTGTAAGGTTTCATCACATGTTTTTGTGCACTGGAGTTTATTATCTTAAACAATGAATTGCAAATCCTCTAAATAGTTGTTTATGGAAGCTCAAGCCGTATTAAAAGATTTCGAGAGGAAGTTCTTTTCATTATATTTATCATCTGTGTGGATATAATTAGAACAGCAGTTAAGTTTCAGCATCAAAACCTTGGTAGGTAAAGGCTTCTTTTCTGTGATCAGACGGTGGATGTTGTGATCGATCAGACATATGCATTGGATCCTGCAGAATACAAGTTATCGACATTTCTGGAGAACATGGACACGGGAGACAGCTCCCGGTTTGTCTTTCTGACCAATCAAAGGCTATGGCGTTACGATAAGAGGGTCTACAATTCTGTAATCGTTGGTAAGTCATTCTTCACTGAATTCATCTCAACGGTCGGCGATAAAAGATTATGATAAAAATATACATACAATGATATTCTTGTATTCTTTATATCCTCAAACAATTTATGATTGCATGATTTAAATGTATGATTGAGAAAAATCTCTCTCTTAAAATCTGTATAAATATTTATCACCTGAATGAATGAAAATTATCCCTTTCACAACATATTTCTCAATTCTATAATAGGAGTTCTCCGTTCTTTGAATCAAATGTGAGTTCATAAGGCTAAGTCAAATTCTCAAGATTATGCAGTCGAGTAATAAATTACATACTGTGGTAAAAGAGTTGTCATCAGATATGTCTATTATTTCAACTGCAACTTGCCATCATTATTCTTGTCAAAATACTCATGCACGGCTTTTAATCTATCTATTTATCAAAATCCTTTTTGATGCAGTATCATCAAATGCTCAGTAATTCTATGAGAGAGTTGTAATGATGTCAAGCTGAGGGCTTTTATGAGATTCTACATGTTTATTTATGCATGCTAATGGTGTCTGCTTCCTGTGCAAGTAAATGGCTTCCTGTATCAACTGTGTGTGTTAATTCATATTGGTTTCGTGTGTTTCCTAGACTGGTTTGATGGAGCCATCTCCCAGCCACAGCTGGTTTTAGCAGATCTAATGGAGGCTTTCTTCCCAACAGGCAACTACAACACTACCTTCTTCAGAAACCTTGCCAAGGTTTGTCAATTCTCTCATCCATCTTATTTCAATCACAAAATTCCCTTGATATAGTATAACCAATTATCATCATTTTTTCTTCTTTAATCAGGATGAAGGAGTAATCACGATAAATCCAGAACTCTGCGATCGAAGCCCTTCCACACCCATGGATCCTACCATCGTCCCTTGCCAGTGAACTCCTCTGCAGTTCACAGCTTCATATCTCATGCACAGATTATTTGTTGCATCATTTAATGTCTTCGAATGTTATCATTGGTACTAATTACTCGAATCATTTGATTTGTTCTCTGAAAACACATCAATGCCTTCGAATGTTATCATTGGTACTAATTACTCGAATCATTTGATTTGTTCCCTGAAAACACATCAATGTCTTCGAATGTTATCATTGGTACTAATTACTCGAATCATTTGATTTGTTCTCTGAAAACACATCAATGTCTTCGAATGTTATCATTGGTACTAATTACTCGAATCATTTGATTTGTTCTCTGAAAACACATTGATCATAGCTGATCACCTTAGCAAAATGTGATTGATCAACCTGAATCGGAAACATCAGAGTTGCTTTTCTCAAGAATACAGTGCATGTTCGTTCTCAAAACTAGACAGATTATTGGTAAACTTAAGACTAATTAAACATTATATTTAATATATTAATTTTTATTTATTTTTAAAAAATATTATATTAACATATCTAATCCTGTTTTGCCTCACATCATTCATTCTAATAAAGAAAATTTTATAAAATTTACTATTGAGTATATACTAACTTTACCTCATTTCAATTTATCACTAAGCATAAATAATAATTTCATTAACAGATGTAAGAAAAAATAAAATAAAATATTTTACTTTCATAAATAAAAAATCTAAATATAATTTAAAAAAATATAAAAACTAAGATATTAAAAAGAATTAATCATAAGGATAATATATAATTTGCCTGATAAACTTACAATATACTGTTGCAGTAGATCTTGCCTAAAGCTACTTAAACATTCATATAATGTTATGTGACAGCAATCTTTCACTGCATTAAGAAAAATAATGCAAAACACCAATGTAAACTTTCTATTGGAAATATATTCAATTGATGTCATAATAATTGTAAGCATAGTTATCAGCTTTCATTATGTATGTAGCAAGACCCACAAACACCCCCATTAATCAAATTTGAAATACAATGATCCTTGCAGCATTTGCATACGGAAACTGTGATGGCAGAATGCTCTAAACAACTGAAAGCACAAACTACAATCACGAACAACAAAAAGAAACAGTGAAGAAACACACAATACAAAGAAAAGTCGATATTCCATTACTAGTATTTTCACAAAAAAGATAAGAAAAAAGGGTTAGAGGAGCTTCTAAAAGGCCAACGGGCTATATGGTTTCCTTTCCAGCGCATGGACAAGCCACAACAGCATTTGATTTCTAGAACTATCCCTTTTTTCACAACTAGAAAGAAAAGAAAAGGGCCCTTCCACAGATCACATTGCTGCCAATTTTACTCCTCATCCTCTTTTTCCTGTAATAAGTTTAGGGAAATAATACAATGCTC